GGGCATTTAAATGGTCATTGGATAAACATATGGATGATAATGGAATAGTTTAGGTTAGATGGGCTTCAGATTAGTTTCACAGGTCGGCGCAACATCGAGGGCCGAAGGGCCTGTACTGCGCTGTAATGTTCTATGTTCTAAGCATTCTAAACTGATGCCAATCTCCCACTATTTTCTTGTAACCCTCCAAATTGTTTATATTGAACTAATTGTTCATTGCCTCAGTTGAACCTGCCTCTTTTATTGCATTCCAGATCCTAACTACCTGTGGAGTAAAAAAGATTTTTATCACTTCGTATTTGCTTCTTTTGTAAAACACTTTAAATCTGTGCCTTCTGGATGTTGCTGTATTCGTGAGTGAGAACAGATTCACCCAGACAGACCCCTAAATTTTGAAAACATCTATCAAATCTCCTCTTAGCCTTCTCTCCTTCAAGGAAAACAGTCCCAACTTTTCCAATCATTCCTCATAACTGAAGTGTCTTATCCCTATAACCATTCTCATTAGCCTCTTTCTGAAATCCACTCACATCCTTCTTATAGTGTGGTACTAGAATTCCTAGCCTCTAACCTGCTGTTGTATCCACAAATTTCATATGGTTGGTCTGACCCAGTTTAGTTTCTGTCAATGGTAACACCCAGGATGTTGACAGTGCGGGATTTAACAGCGATAAGACCACTGAATGTCAAGGGTTAGATTGTCTCTAAATGGATGTTGCCTTGGATGTTTCCCCTTGTGGGAAAGACTAGAACTAGGGAACAGAGTTTAAAAATAAGGGATCTCCCACTGAAGAAGTAGTTAAGGAGAAATATTAAGTTTGAGAGGGTTGGTGATCTGTGAAGCTGCGTTCCCAGTGAGCAGTGGAGGCATGGTCATTGAACATTTTCAAGGTCGAGGTAGATAGATTTACCACTGTGTATAAGGACAGAGAGCTGTTGTCTCCTGCGGAACTGAATCTCAGTGCATGCAGTGCAGAATCAGTGCCTGAAGGAAGCACAGAGTGGTAAACTGCAAAGACTTACAAATCCTGCTTAGCTGCAGTGTCTAGTGCTAAACCTCCCAGGAACAGAAAATAACAGGCTATGCCTTGCTTGTGCATTCCCACTTGTTTTATTATCTTGTGTAAAAGCAGCAGGGGAGAGGTCACTTTCCTTCTCAAGCACTTTATTCTCGACACAATAAACCAAAATGTACTCCTTAACTCAGCATGACCAGTTTGTGTGATCTCGGCAGTTTAGAGGGGAAAGTAATTTTGTATTATCTGTTCTTGAGACACTTCTATTGAAATTCTGGTGTAAAATATTATGTTACTCGTTCAGGTTGATGACAATTGCCCTTCAGTTGTTTCACGCCACCCACTGAAGGTGCTCTCTCATCTAGCCACTCTACAGCTCAAATGCAAATAGCCTGCTCCAGTGTCTGTTTATCAGCTCCATTTCATGCGTGAACTATGATTATGAAAACAGGTTAAACATTTAGTGTCAAGCTGTGCAAAATATTGCATTTTAGGAGGAAGAATGAGTCGAGGCAATATAATTTAAAGAATACAACTGTAAAGGAGGTGTGGGTCCAGAGAGAGCTGGGAAGTCCTTTCCACAAATCTTTGACAATAGCAAGCTCTTAAAAGGCAGATGGGACCCTGGGCTGTATTAGTGGAGCCATAGAATACAAAAGCAAAGGAGCTCAAGTAAAACATTACAAATCACTGATTAGGCCTCAGCTGGAGTACTGTGCTCAATTCTGGTGATCGCATTTTAGGAACGGGCAAGATCTTGCAAAGTCTCCAAGAGAGATTTAAAGAATTTAAAGAATGAAGAAGCTAGATTGATCTTCTTAGAACAGAGAATCATAGAACACCAGAGTTTGGAAGCAGGCCATTTGGCCAACGAGTCTGCACTGAACCTCTGAAGAGCGTCCCACCCAGACCCACCACCCTATCCTATCCCTGTAACCCTGCATTTCCCACGGTTAATCCACCTAACATCCCTGGACATTATGGGTAATTAGCATGACCAATGTACCTAATCTGCACATCTCTGATCTTTGGGAGGAAAACCATGCAGAGAATGTGCAAACTCCACACAGACATCACCTGATGATGGAATCGAACCCAGATCCCTGGTGCTGTGAGGCAGCAGTGCTAACCACAGAGCTACCCTGCTCTCCAGAGCAGGTTAAGGTGAGACATAATAGAGCTGTTCAATATTCAGGGAGGTTACCACAATCAGTAAGAAATACATAACAATAGAACATGGGACATAGTGAGGAGAACTTTCCTGACACAGTGAGTTTGAAAAATTTAAAAAAGAAAAAAAAACTGCAACACAACAGGGAAAGAGTTGGAACAAAAACAGAAATTGCTGAAGAAATTCAGCAGGTCTGGCAGCATCTGTGGAGAGAAGGCAGAGTCCAGTGACCCTTCTTCCTAATGAGTTGAAAGAGCTGCATTGTTGAACTCACTGGACAGCTCTTTCAATGACCTCCTTCTGTGTCAACGACTAACCCTGAACTTCCCCACCAGTATAGTGAAAGATTTTTGCCCTTTTAAAAACAAAAGATAAAAAAGGAGATAGGGTGGGAGTGGGGTCAAGAGCAAGGGATGACAGTCTCAGAAAATGTGGTGATACATTTCAGGACTGAGATGAGGAGAAATTTCTTCACTCAAAGGGTGATGAGCCTGTGGAACTGTCTATCACATATGGTAGCAGAGGCAAAGCCACTGAGTATATTGAAGAAAGAAACAGATTTCCAGAAGTGTCAAGGTGTCTTCCATCTTGGACTGTGACCTTGACTGCTTTCAAGCTCATCCTTTCATCACTTCTTGCAAAACTTGGAGAGTTGCATCTTGTTGGATAGCTCACTTAATTGGAGGAAGGCACTCATCTGTTAAATGAAACAGTTGCTGAATTCGAGAGCGTTGCAAACTGATTCTTCAAGTTGAATCTGGAAGATTTCACATTCTATCATAGCATTGTCTACTTTCTTCACTAGGAATGCTGCTCTTGACATTTTGTCTGCAACATACATCTGCTTCCTTTGTGTGTATGTCACATTGCGATATTACCTCTCCAACTGGACTAAAAATCTTTCAGGGACAGGTAACAAAGGCTTGAGGAAAATGCTTTGAAGTGTCTTGTGAAGAAATTCAACTGCCATTTTGTTTCTTCCAGCAAAGACAATGGTGAGGCATTCTATCTCAATCTTAGAATAGCATCATTCCATTTGTGTTAACACCCTTAATACAAATGCACTTAGTTGTCTTTGTTAGATTAAGTTTGTTCCGAGTCTCGTCATGCTGGCATCACACTGCAGGGAGACGTCATCATTTACATTATAATCTATCAATACTAGGACTGTTATCACCAGTTGCTTAATTTAGCAAGTGTCACTTCTTGTGTGATAATTCTCCCCTTCGGGCCTGCAGTATTAATCAGCATAAGGCAACCCCTGGTCTGTTCTGCTATGAACATGCCTTAGCTGCTGACTTCAATCTCAATGCTTTGGCACATGTCACTCACTTTCCTGCAAGTGAGTTTGTCCTCTCTCAATAGGATCTCTTATGCCAAATACAATCCTGTCTTTAAGTAAATCATCTTTCAGTTCAAACAGTGGAAACTGATTCAATTATAACTTATACATGGAAATTGTATAATACTTGAAAAAAATGCAGAGCTGTGGGTAAGAAAGGAATAGGACTATAGAATAGCCCTTTCTAACAAATTATTCCAAACAATAGATTATTCTCGAAAGATGGGATTGTTCTTCTTATGGCAGAGAAAGTTATGAGATATTTATCGAGATATTTAAAATCATTGAATGATTTAATAGATTAAATAAGAATAAAGTGTTTTCAGTGGCAGCAGGGTCAATAATCAGAGGACAATGATGTAAAGGAACTTGTAAAAAACATAGAGGTGGTAGAGGAGAAAATGTTTTATAGTCTAGAAGGCATTGACTGAAAGGGTGGTGAAAGTAGATTTCTGAAGAAGGGTCTAGGCCCGAAACATCAGCCTTCCTGCTCCTCTGATGCTGCTTGGCCTGCTGTGTTCATCCAGCTCTACACCTTGTTATCTCAGATTCTCCAGCATCTGCAGTTCCTACTATCTCTGAAGGTAGATTCAATTGTGATTTTAAAAGTGAATTAAATAAATTATTGGAAAGGAAAGTATTACATGGTGATGGAGAAAAAGTGGAGGAATGTGTCTAAGCCCTTTCATAGAAACAGCCTGACTTCCTTTTGCACAAGCTAATTCTACAGTTCTATACTAGATTTGGGGAAAATTAACTTCAGTGTTTCTTTGTACCCTAGAAAATAGTAACCTTATGGAGCTAGTTGCTGGATTTTGCAGCAAATGCTAATTCGCTGTATATTTTCCACTGATAGCTGGAACTTGCTTAGGCAGAAATGATCTTGTAAGAAATTTAAGTAGCAAATATGGCACCAAGGATACATGGAGACTTTTCCTGTGATGCTGACGATTTATGTTGGGGAGGGGGAGCTAGTTCATCCTAAGTTATTTTCCTATTTAGATTTTCATACATCCAGGCACTGAAAAATCTGAAACTGGGAGAGTGATAACAAAGTTGCTTGTTTAAAGTCAATAAATAGTGCAATTTTCATACAGACACCATTGGGAAAACTCCCCTGCTCCTCAAAAAAAAACAGTGGATCTTTCACATTAATCCAAACTGGCAAGCAGGGTCCTCAGTTTAACAACTCACTTGGCATCTACAGTGCAACATTCTCATAATGGCATTAGCCTGGATTATATGCTGAAGTCACAGTGCGCAGTTTGAACCCAGACCATGTGTTTCAAGTGGAGCTTTCACAATATGACACACAGTTCACCATAACAGAGGTCAGTTGAAACCACTTCTGTCCTCTTGCTATTTGATTAACCTTTGACCTGTTTGCTTTTCTCACCAGATCCTGTGCCACCAGTCAGACTGTGTAACAGTATAACCCCACAGTAGGCATCGCGTCGCTCCACCTCCTTCCGGAAGCTATCCAAGGTGCGATTAAGCAAACTGTTGTCATTCTGTGTCCGCAGTCCATGATACCCTGTCAATAGATTGTGGCTCATTAGGTTTCAGTGAATCTCCTGTTGGAATAATCACTATAACCACTATATGATCAAAACAGTAACAATCACTGAATTATATAGTTGACAGAATAGAATCAAATAGATATATTCAAGGCTGAGTTACATAGATTTTCAATAGACATGGGAGTCAAAGGTTATGGAAGGAGGAGGGGAGCAGATAAGAAAATGAAGCCAAGACCACAACTAGCTCAGCCATAATCTTAGTGAATGATAGATCAGGCTTGGAGAGACAAAGGCCTACTCCTGCTCCCAAATTATATGTAAATAGATTCATAGAATGCACAGAAAAAGGCCATTCAGCCAGTTGTGTCCATATCGGCTCACAGCAAGTGGAAATCACAGAGTTCCACAGCGCTGTCTTTTTCCCATAGTCCTGCAAACTATTTTTTATTCACTTGTGGGACAGGGTTGTCACTGGATGGCCAGCATTCATTGCCCATCCCTAGTTACCCTTGAGAAGGTGGTGGTGAAGCAGCCTTCTTGAACCGCTGCAGTCCATGTGCTGTAGGTAGACCCACAATGTCCTTAGGGAGGGGAATTCTCCAGATAAGAAGGCAATTCTCTTTTGGAAGCAATGAATAAATCTGCCTCCACCACATGCCCAGGGAGTGCATTACAGATCCAAACCACTCACTTGGTAAAAATGTTTCTTTCTTCACATTGCCATTTTTTTGTCAAACAACTTAAAACTGTGTCTTCCGGTTCTTGATCCTTCCACCAGCGGAAATTGTTTCTCCCTACCTACTCTGTCCATTCCTGTCATGATATTGAATACATCTGTCAAATCTCCTCTCAATCTTTTCTTCTTCAAGGAAAACAGCCCAAAATTCTCACATAACTAAAGTTCCTAAACCTTAGATCCATTCTCACAAGTCTATGCTATAATCTCTCT